GAGAAGAGCTTGAGCACAAGCTCTTGATATACCACACTGGGTGTCCAAAGGGCTTTGAACAAAGAAAAATTAACATGAAAAAATGAATGGACACAAAGCAAAACACAGGAAAGAGAGAAGGTATGATGATATTCAAGAGCTGCTTGCTGGCAATGGCTGACAAACCCAAAGGCTGCTGGGATGCTTCTCTTTGGTTGTTCTCCCTGTGTCTAAAGAGCCTGTTGCTGAGCACCGTGAACACTGTTATTAGGTCTAATTGATCTGTTGATTGATGCAATTTAAGAAAAATGGGGTGATGCAGAAACCAGAGGATGCTGTGGTTCTTTGGGTTCATGGTCCCAGACCCATGTTATTTCATTGTACCTTCTTTGCTTAGTTTGCAATACCTTGCAGACACTTGTGACTTGTACCATGGTCCCAGTTCGTACGAGCTGCTGTTCCACGTTAACATGGATCTATAAAAAGACTCCAGCTGGACCTTTATTAGGATGGATGGGAAATAAATGAGTTGGAATCAGCAGAAGTGGTATGCATCCAGTAACAAATATTGATGCACCAGAGGTTAATGTGGCATGAAATATGCATCACATGTCCCAGGGATCCATCATTCGTAGGGCTGGGACCAGGAGAGAATTGATTTGATTTGATAAAGCCATAAAGCGAGGGGAGAAAGTCGCAGCTTGATAAGTCGGATCCATATTCTTCACTTAGCAATGATCTACAAATCCAAAGCCCCCGGTATGACACGTGGAGAGAAGAGTCTGAAATCTCCCTCCTCATGAATCCCGTCTCATTACCTTCCTTCAGATCCTCAACCTAAACCTTTAGTCTTCATGCATGATGTGGTGGATTTACAGATCCAGCCCCCCAACACACACACACACACACACACACACACACACACACACACACACGCGCACACACCCTTTTCTGTGGCATCTCTGGAATCCGCTTCCTGTTGGAAACCTGTATGAAATAAAGTCTCCCAATGAGTGAAATCTACTTCTTTTGCAAAAGTTAGAGATCTTCTCAGATTTACTGCCACACATTAGGATCTCGTTAGCAGCCTCGTTAAAAATCAAGGCAATCCTCCTCTGATCATACGGTGACATTTAAGAATTGGGTATTGAGAAGGAGAAACTGGAGAATGATTTGCCTATTACATTGCCTACAATGGCAATTTGCAACATGTTTGTTTTTAAATACGTCATGAGAATTCTCAGTTTTGTACATTTTACAATTTAACAGAAGCAAATCTGTTATATCACATTAAACTGTCAGCTGGATACCTGCCTGCATGAGGAATGTGTCTGAGAGAAGGCCGAGGCACACCTGGCTAATCAAAAACTACTTAGATACAGGTGTGTGGAGCAGTTAGTTGAGTGTCGCTATTATTTGAGCATCTGGTATTCTTTATAGCTTTGGCAAGGCCAGCTCCCAGGTTTTATGATTTAGTCATTTATTTATTAACAGTTACAAATTCTATTTCTACCATTTTTTTATGGGCAGTTCATTCCTCAATACCATCAGTGGTATGTAAAGGCTGCCAATAGAATAACAGGATGATGACAGCTAAAACATTTTACAGTTTTTTGCAATTGCTTACACACTTGTTGCGGAATTTGGCTCATTATGTCAAAACTCTACACACAAGCCAAATAACACATAAACATCTCACGTCTATGTCAAAATGAAACTCTGCAATCAAAATCCAACAACCATTTTTCAAAATGGCATTTTTGCAACAAAATGATACACACGCACCATTTGAATTACTCTTTCAAAGCAGCAACAACACACTGATGTACTTTATACAAAATGCTGCTGTTTTTAGTACTTTGTATACCTTTTTAATTTTCTCATACAGGCTTCTGTGAAAGATTGTTCCAGTACGGTACATCTACTCATTTCAATGAACACAAAAATAGAAAGGCTTCAGAAAAAAAAAAACCGTATATACAGCTTATTTTTTGCCATTGCAGGTTTTTACAACAACAAAACGAAAACACTAAGAAAAGTAGAATTACAGTACAGTAATCAATACAATATGTTACTGTAAACTCATGGAAACAAAAATAATTACAGTAAAATTACAGTACAATGGTAAACAAAAAATAGTACTGTAAGGGATGAGGTGGATGGTTTATGGATCCCGCCTTCTGTGAGGGTCTGGCCACATCACCTCATCACAAGCAATATCATCCCTGGCTAGGCAACGGGGAAAATATTGCCTTGCGTGCCGTATCCAACCCTGGACTGACCCCACCTCAATGTCTCCTCATGCCTCTTCCATTGCTTGCAGAAGAGGCAGGATGGCATGTGTTTGGCGGTCATACACTTTCCACCGCCAAGCCGAAAAGAATTCCTCAATCAGATTGAGAAATGGGGAGTAAGGGGGCAATTATACAACTGTGAAGTTATTGTGGTTGGTGAACCAGTTCCGGACCAGAGCAGCCCGGTGGAAACTAACATTATCCCAGATGACAACAAACCTGGGCTGCTCTGGTCCGTCCTGTACAACTGCATTACATGTATCCAGAAATGTGATTATGTGTGCAGTATTGTAGGGACCTAAGGTGGCATGGCGATGGAGATCTCCATGCAGACTAATGGCGGCACACAAGGTGATATTTCCCCAGTGCCACCCAGGGACATTCACAACGGCTTTTTGTCCTATAACATTTTGGCTCAGACACCTGGTTTTAGCTAGATTGAATCCAGCTTCATCAATGTAAATGAACTCATGAGGCTGTGCAGCTGCATCAAAGTCCAGGACTCTCTGTAACAGAAAATGCATACATTGTACCGTGAATATGGTGTAACTCAAAACACAGGACTACAATGTCACCACACCACAAAAGAGGTGAGCTTACCTGGGGTCTATTTGTAGTGCTAAGGCTCAGACTGATTGGTGTTCAGTTAGTGTATAAGTGTTTTCGTGTGTGTGTGGGTGTTGCCAATTTCAGGTATGTTTTGCATTTTGAGTAGAAGTGTTTTCCCAATGATTGCCAGAGATTTCATTCTTCAATGAAGTGTCTAATGTAAGAAACAGTGTGTAGTGGTTTGCAAGAAGCGTGTTGCAGAACTGCAAACAAAGTGCAAAGCAGAAAATGTGTTTGTACTTTTGGTGCCTTTGTTTAAGGCATGGTTACAAAAGTTAAGGTTTTGATGCTTTTGTCTAAGAATTCACTTTCAGTGTGTAAGCAATCGGCAAAAGCTGTAACATTTTAGCATAATCTATGACAACATGTTGAGTATGAATAATTCAGGACTCTGAATGAACAAAATAAGAGATTATTCGCATCTGTAATCCTGTTTAATCCATAGTCTTAAATAAGACAATAGTCCACTCCTATTATGTAAGTGTCTGTTCATGTTCACAATCATGTGATCTGGAGCATGTAGAGCAGGCAGAGAGGAGGCTAGGTGCCTGTTAAAAGGCTAAAACAACTTTCAATCTTTACTGACTGTTTGTACCTACAGGAAACTGGTCACCTTGGTTTCCAGTATGTTTTGTGTGTCTTTGGATGATGTTCAGCCGAGCTAGAGATGGGATCGGATGGGAATGTTTTCAATAGGGATTATCAAATAAAATAGAATCCTCCCTACCAATCAGAATCCTCTGAATTGCATGTAACCATTCCCAGCCAAGAGTTCTGAAAAATAACACTAGATTGACGAATCACAGTGCATTGTGGCTTTGAATATTCAAGGCCAGGTTTTTTAAAAAGAAAGGTGTTACAGCACATTTTTCTGACAGCCAAGTGTATATTATATGATTAAAAAAGTGCATTTTAGACTGCTGACCCTCATGGTTTTTATTGCAGATCCTACGAAGGAAATTCACTTACTGCTTTAACTTTATGTATCTCTTCGGTGTTTAAGTGTTTTTCTCTGCAGAGTCCTAAAAAAGCAGTTGATCACAAAATAACCCCTCTCCACACTGCTATATATAGAGACTGATATGCCATTAGATTTTTCTGTGTAAACAAACAAATAAATAAATAAACAAATAAATAAATAAATACAGTATATTTTCAGATTGTTTCTGCCCATAAGTGTAAACATGTCTCTTAGCTTCAGGCAGCTGCCTGAGTTTTCTTATTGCTCAAATCAGCAGTAAAGGAATCTCACAAGGACAAGTTGCCAGCCGCTTTAAACCCCCAGACAGAGTGATGCATCGTGCATGTGCAGCTTTAGCATGATGGTAAATGAGTCAGATCTGCACAGTCTTTTGACTGGAGACTAAAATTAGTGTTGCCAGTCTTATTTAGAATGATTGTAGGGAGAAGGACTACATGTGGTACAGTGTGTGTGTGTGTCTGTGTGTGTGTTTGTGTGTGTGTTTGTGTGTGTGTATATGTGTGTGTGTAACATAACACAACACATAGGTAGCTCCTCAATTCTTAGTGAGAACAACAAAGTGATATCTTGGTTGGAGAGAAAAATAAATATTTTTCCTTGGAAACTATCCATGCATTTGAAATTTAAATTCATTAAAAAAGTTTATAAGTTTAAATCTTATTCTCCCCATGTATGCTGCCCTATTTTTGGATGTTTCGGACTCCCCTCAGTTTAAGACAGATAACATAGGATCTGTAACAGCTATTCACATGAGCCATATAGGCTATCATATTGTTCAGAATTAATTTGTCTAATGGAAAATGCCGTCAGGAGCCCTGACCATGACATTAGAAGTTTGATATGCATTACATTACTTTTACATTTATTCATTTGGCAGACACTTTAATCCCAAGTGACTTACAAGTGAGACAGAGTACAACACAAGCAAAAGCTGTATAAGGAGTCAGAAAAAGCTATTTATTTTTGCTATCTGCTCCACACAACATTTATCACACATCACTTTATCTTTACATTTCAATTTTGATGATTTATTGTATGGGGACATCATTTTTCCCTGTTTGATACTCAGAACAGCTTTAGCTCTCTACAAACTTAGCTTTAGCTCTCTACAAAGACATTGCAACTTCTAAAACACGTGCTCCAGGTGAGGCTTGAACACACAACCTTGGCATTGCCCTCTTATGTACTACTAAGTACCACACGCTAACCGATTGCACCACTGGAGCCCTATGCCCTTTTGTATGAGGTAAAATAATTTTTGCTTGTTTAAATTTCCCTTCAAAAGCAAGTGTGCCACCTCACTTACTTCTACAGAGACTGATGCCATTTAAAAACATATACCATATAGAACATACAATGCATATAAATGCATGCATATAAAAACTACATCAGAAAGACTCTTCATATCTTTGTAATGTGAAAAAGTATGGGTTGAGAGCTTGGCAAGCATTCTCAGAAGTTTGAAAGTGAGGTGAAACTGGTAATTACTACTTGCATGTATTATTATATAAAATGCAAAACATCAACATTTCCACTGATTGTTTGTCATACCCAATCGTGAAGGACTGCTTTAGTATCTGTATACAATAATGACATGGTGTGATGACTTTAACTTCCTTCCCGTAATGAGTTTCTTTTAATCACAGGCAGATTGAAACTGTAGCTAATGTTTAAACTCAGATAATTCTAAGGTATACATTGAAATGATCTAAAGCATTTAAAACATCGGTATGCGATAACCAATATATTTCAAGGGTATTTAGTGGCTCATTGTGCATACATACATTCTTGGTTTTTAATGGAAGTGTCATGCAGTCCATGGGAGTCGTGAGCATCTCTGTACCATGTGCATTCCCTCTACAATCAACCCTTGCTTTTTAAATTGCCCACTTAACAATATCAGTGCTCAATATTGCATTTAATTTTCTGGCTTTGTGCCCTCTATTCGAAGCCAGTTAACTAATTTACAGTTACAAATAATGGGCTCCTGATAATTAACTTCTATGGTAATGTCCTGGAGGCTGCTGGCTGCAGAGTGCAATTTTTTTTTCCTGTTTTTGGCAGTTAGACCGTGTGGAAATTTCAAACAATCACAGGAAGAAACTCAGAGGTCTCTTCGAAGGCAATGATTCTTTTTAATAATGCCATAGACAATCTACCAAATGGAAAACTCAATTAAGGAGCAACAAGACACTAAAGACACCTGAATTTTAGTCAAGTGAATGCCTCGCTGCTTAAAGACAGGGACTTAAAGACTTGCTGTCTTATTTAGCCTTTCTCTTGCTGAAACCCTTGCTCTGTGCCCACCACCTTAGTGATAATAGTAATAACTAGAAATGAAAGTTTGAGGAAAAATATTACTTTGCAAGATAATAGGTAGTTACAAGTTTTGGTCTAGAGACAGTCTGTATCTATGGCCACCGTAGCAGTCCTATTGTGATGTCAGCTGTGTGTGATGGAATGTTCACTCCCACATGTTTCAGACGGTGAGTCTTTGTTAAAAGCGTCTTTTTTTAACAGTAATTCCCATACCCTTACTCTTCAATCTTAGCTTTGAAGCATGCAGAATAAAACTAGCTGCCCTTTGGTCTCCTTGATTTTGTCACATTTTTCTTCTTTTGCAACGGCACCACTGCTTTTCATTGCGAACCACTATCTGCCTCTTTCTGTCTAGGAACTGCTGTCTGACAGACCAGCAGCCTCATAATTAGTACAGCAGCCTTGTATTTCCCCCTCAGACTCTTCCTGAAACTCCTCAATTTGTGACTTTACAGATTCTTTGATTCACTTGTTTCCCCTCCCTTCATGCTGCACACCATTGAATGGGTCGTTATCGCCATGTAGCATTTTCAGTATATGCCTTGCATCCGGTCTTCAGTTTTGTCCTGGTCTGCCAGCACTTCTCCAGCTTTGTCTTCTTTTGCAGGAATCCTGATCCCCCATATCTGATATGCTTAAAGCCTGTCAGGCAAGTCTGTCTACATGACCTCATACGCTCATATCCTAAGGCTCATTGCATGTTAAGGTCCGCCATCTTCATTTCATCACATTTCCCTTGTAAGATCTTCATTTACCTACTTTCCTTTCCTGCCTTTCAAGTGGCATCCTTTGATTTTCTGCTGTTGTCCACATGTTGAAGCATCTCACTTGAAACAGCATACTCACAATGGTAATGATGGTGCAATGATACTGTGAGAAAAAAGAAAGTTAAGCAAAACCTTCTGGTCCTACTATGTATGCAGCTTTAAAGAGGGATGCTTCTCTGTTATTTTTTGATTATGCCATCAGAGCTAGACATGTGGTAGACTTCACAGATGGTTCTTTAATCCCTGGGCATAGAGTGCATTTTCTTATGGGACTTGGTTCATTCTTGTTGTTATTTTCTATAATTTGATTTCATATCAGTGTGATCTCAGTGTTATTTTACATATGAAATATTTCCATGCCACACATGCACAAGCTATAGACTCACAAGTCTCAACTGAAAAAGAAACACACACACACACACACACACGCAATGCTATTCAATGTTGTCGTCTTTCTCGCACCATTATACTAGGTCTCTCCCAAAACATGTACACACCCGCAAACACACACACACACACACACACACACACACACACACACACACAAATCATTACTAAAACAGTTTCCAAAATATCTGATGTTAAAAATTCTGAGCTGTATCTAGGTGTACGATAATGGGGACGGAATGTAGGTTTAAACATGTACATTGTGAAGGTGCTTTTCACTATCTACAGTGGGAAGGAAAGCATACAGTCAAAGCAACCTGCTTACCAGCTGTACCCCCACAGAGGATTTCTTTCATCATCGCAGCCCTGAAAACTTTGCTGTCCCGCATCCTTCACATTCTGCCTGCATAAACAGCTCCAGTCCAGTATCTGAAACACTTGGTTGCAACTGTGGGAGAATTTGATATGAGGTAGAGTAATTGTTTTAATGCTGACCTAAGGGGGTGGGATGCAACAGTCCGACCATCCAAAAGCACACAGTACTTTTTTGGTGGTAATGAGGCGTTATCTTGGGAAGAAGAAGAAAACAGAGCATCTGAGTGACAGCTGGCTTACGCTGTGTGTCTTGGGGGGGAAACAAGCGCTCAGTGTAATTGCTGTCAGGCTTTGGCTATGGCGCCGAGAGCCATTCTTCGGGTCCGCGCTGTCACTTTTGTTTGACACCCGTCATGAGATTGTCAGAGCGCATGTCACATTTCATTACGAGGATCACTCCCTTGCTACTTAAGGAAGGTAAGTGCTGAAGATGTATCAAGTTTATGTAACGCAGTCTGAAGGTAAACAGCATGGACACTACAGCAGTGTGAACTGAAGCATCAGCTTGTTAAGGTTAAAGTTTGGTTTGCAGTTACGATTATTAAGATAATCTCCGGCATCACTGGCATCCAATAAATCTTAACATTTACAATACAGCAAAACCCTGAAGACCTAAATGTATATTCATTCACAGTTTTCATAAAACTCTAAACTTTATTGGTGGTTACAAGGTCTGATGTGGGAAATGCCCAGTGATTTGTCATAGACAGAATGAGTGGTAAGAATATGTGTGGGGGTGTGTCTGTGTGTTTACACTGTAAGGTGTAAGATCATGTCATATTAGCTGTATACAGTGGATGCTCCAAGAGCACAGCAGTTGTCTCCCAAATGAAAGCTAAATTAATTCTTGGGAAGCTGCTCCATTCCAAGATAGTGATGAATGAGCACGGCAGGGACCCTTTTACCCTGTGGTATAGCTTTGTGCCACTATCCACACTCAAAGAATGGTTGGCGTGCAAGACCATAAGGATCCAAAAATGTATATAGTTGTATATCTATGTATGCTGTGTGTGTGTGTGTGTGTGTGTGAATTAAAAATTCCCCCACATCCAGAAGATAACTAGGTCATAGTTGTCATTACAGTTGCAATGTCGAGGCGGCACCTGCACCACCAAGCATAGTCAGCAGTGTAGCACACTGTTACCATGCAGTTGGAATCAGCACTATACTCCGTGTCATCACTGGGTCACTCCATGCCTTTATGTTTATCTTGTGAACAAATACAAATATTTTTCAGATTGAAATTAGGCAAAGATTATTATTTTCCATTATAAATCATGTCTTTGTTTGCCCAGCTGCAGATAAGCTTGGTTTTCACTTCTCGCTGCCATTTTGTACTGAGGCATCATGGATGGAGACAGAAACAATTCGCTGATATAGAGAAGTGATGAGCACCTATGAGCATAACCCCACATGTCCTTGCCCAAAGCCTGTTTCACTCCAGAGGTCAGGGTAAACCCAATGACAAATCAGTGCTACTGAGTGTGACTAAGTGTGCGTGATGGGTGCCTGCCATTAATAAGAGGCAGTGCATTGTGATTATTACAGAACTGGATTTAAACCCACAATCCTGTGTGAGGCACTGCTGTTTCACCTTTGTCCCTTGAGCAAGGTGCTTGATGAGGATTAATTAATTAATGTCATTATGTTCCATTACTAGCATTTAGCAGGCGCTTTTATCCAGAGTGACTTCCATAGGTTATGATTTTTACATGTTATCCATTTATAAAGGATGGATATTTACTGAGGCAATTCTAGGTTAAGTACCTTGCCCAAGGGTACAGCAGCAGTGCCCCAGCAGGGAATTGAACCGACAACCTTTTGGTTATGAGTCCTGCTCCTGACCACTATGCTGCACTGCCACGCCTTAACGTCCAACTGTCTGAATGTATACTATGGAAAACATAATGCATATAAGTTGACCTGGATAAGGCTGACTCTGTAAATAAGTAATTCCGCCGGGCTATACAGTACGTACACAAGGAGTCTGATCCGTACTTTGCATACTGATGGCATAAACCAGCAGCTTAAAAGGAGCCAAGCACCTCACATCAGATGAATCCCCCTCTCCCCTTATGTAACACTAACCCAACTTTGCAAAATTACAGCTTGTTCCATTTTGGCTAATTTACTCATTCATTCTCAGAAGAAAATCATTTAAAGCAGTGATGATCCCATTTTCCTTGTGTGTTGGTCTCGGTTGCCTGTGATGTTTTCCTTTTATCTTTGCTCTTCCATTACCAAATCTCGCTGTGTTGCTCCCGAATGCTACAATGAACGGGGGATTGAAATGTCTCATCTTCAGTTGTCTCCTAAGGACACACCACAAAACAGTGCCTTTGAATTTTTTTCTGTTACTGTAATATATCATACATTCA